GTCTCAGAGCTGCTATCATGCATGCATCCAATTGTGATCATCTGTGCCATGCTGTATAAGATGGAGGGACCCGTGGCGGAAAGAGCATCTTTAGAAGTATTCTTGTTATATTTTATATTATTACATTTGTTATTTGTATCTGCCTTTACTTAAATGTTATACCTAGAAGCATTTGTGTGATCTCTCTTTGCACATCTTAAATAAAACCCCAAAAACGTAAACTATCATATGACCATGATAAAACATTTGGTACCAGTAGTGGGGTATTCAATTTGTGTGAACTAGTGACAAGAATAATAGAATATGTAGTGGCGGGATTCTGCTAGATTGTTTGTGCTGGGTTTAATACAGTGTTTTTGTACTGTAAGCCATAGCACATTCAGAAAGTGTAGAAAATGCATCAGTTGTTTAGCTGGTTTAAGAGAGAGAGGGCCCCCTACGCAAAAATGCAAAATCACACATATATACGTGATTTTGTGCACTCATGCCACCCTGTAGCAGTACTTCTGCTACAGGGTGAATTGGAAGAGGTTAAATAAAAAATCATTTGCAACAGAGATGGTTGACCCCTCCCTTATATGTCCTATGTGTTTTAGGCAAGAGAGAGGAAGACCGTTTCCAGTTTTTTCCTCTACCCCCCTCCCCCTTAACAGCCTGTTTTGTGTGAAGCAGGACATTTTCTAACATCTAAGAAATGAGTACTATAACTGTATGTTCAAATGTGGGTGATGTGACAGATTTTGTAAGGCAAATGGGAATGTTTAAATTCTGCAAAAAAAAAATAATGGTTGAAATTGTTTTATTTTGTAACTATTCAGATCATTTGAAACAACGAAACAAAAAGAAAATGACTGATTGAAGTTGACACCTGTTGAATTCCAGAAAAGCAGCCATGATTTTTATAAATATTTAATTGTTTGGCTCTCCATTCCAGCCTATTGGGCGTGGAAAAGGAATCAGGTATTTAAGCACCACCCACAGACAAAACCATGTCCCACCTCTTTAATGGCAGTCATTTACACAAGTTAGTTGATTAGTAAAGACCAAGCTAAGAGTTACTTAACAGCATCAGAAAGGACCACTTATATTTATCTCCAGTGATCATTCACCACTGTGAATGATCACTGGAGATGAATATGATAAGTTGATAAAGTTGTATTGTCCTTTATTGGTAATTGTAATGTAAGTGTAATATTCTAGAATAGAACACTAATAATTTTTAAGTTTTCTCATTAATGCAGGAGGAACCAGAGGTTTTCAAGATCCATATAGTTGAGATTGAACATGAAGCCGAGATAAATTGATATGAATATTCCTCGTGCACAAATGTGATAAATACATTTTATATTGTAAAGCGCTGAGCAAACTGTTGGCGCTACATAACTCCTGTATAATAATAATAAGTATAAATGTTATTGTGAATGTCAAGTAAACCATGATGCATTAATGACAACTTTTAATGGACATGCTTTACCTCCCTGGCGGCATTCCCGAGTGTAGCTCAAGGTAAAGTTTCAGTACCACAAGCGGTAACCCCGAGCTACACTCGGGCTTACCATGCGGCGCTGCTCCGGGATCTCTCGATCACTTACCTTGTCCTGTGCTCCCGCGATGTCCCTCCTGCAGTGTCCCCGGCAATGTAATCCGGCAGATGCCGGCATCTGTCATCTGGGTTCTGTCCCCTGCGAGCGTCGGGACGTACGGGGAACGGAACGGTGGGAAATTTGAAACTGACAAAAAGTGACATTCACTAAAATCACATAGTAAAACATTACTGTATCTAAGCATTTCACATACATTTTGTCCCTAGTGCTTTGTCCTGTGCCCTGCCTGCATTTTTACTGTTCTTTCTGCCTGGAAACTGAGAAACCTCCATGGCGTCCAAAAAGCATCCCTTTAGGTCAAAAGCGGTTTTAGACCAGCTAGAGAACAGCGATAGTAAACTACTTGCAGAATTGAGTGATAATGATTCGTGGGGAAATTCGTCATCAGACAATGAAAATGATTTTGCGACTTTGCTCAGTGATGTGCAAACTTGGCGCTCTATTTCAAATTTCAGTGTTTTTGGTTTGATTATATTATTGAATTAAATTTATTATTATTTTTTTATGATTATTTATTAAATTATAATTTATGATTTCGTGTTTCAAGTTTTATCCTACCTGGGATGTTTACTAGACTCTTGTTCGGACAGATTTCAGTGAGTTATTCCTAAAAATTACAGGCCTACATTAAAAAAAAATACATATTTCCATGCAAAAAAATGTACCGCTTTGAGCACAGAAATATGGACATAATCAGACCGCTAGGGAGGTTAATAAAAATCCATGTGGCGATAACTGATATGAGTTCATTAAATATGGGTAATTATATATTTATATATATATATATATATATATATATATATGTGTGTACTCATAAAGCCCTGTACATACGATGAGAATATTGGACGAATGATCGTCCATTTTTTTTTGCATGCTAGTTTTATATTGAAAGTGAAGAGATTACTAAAGTTACAAATTTCTTGTAGAAAGAAACTCTCAGAAAATTTGGAAGTGATATAATGTATTTGTACTGTATTTTTGGATGAAAACCTTACTAATTAAACAAAAATTGTACAATCTGGTATTGTACGAGAAAAAGTTTTGTGCTCATCCCTTCAAATGATTTTGAACAAAAGCTGAGTACTATTATCATTCGATCGATTAGAAAGCGGTATTTTTCGTACGATTTTCTGATCATGTGTTCTAGGCTTAAGTAAACCAAAATGGCCATTTGTTTTTGAAAAGTGTTTTGTATATTATTTGTTTGTGTATTATGTGTTAGTTCTAGGAGGGAAATGTAATGACACCACACAAAGACCTTTCATTTTGTTTAGTTTCTGAATAGTACTAAACAAGATCAATCCACACGTCTGATAAAGTTTGATGTCCAAGAACTAAAGATAAAGATCACAGCCTGCATGGATAATCTGCATTGTTTTATTTTTATTTTTATGTAATAATGTGAATGTAATGAAAGTTTCTAATAAAACCAACTGTAAAACAGAGCAGGTAATACTTTTGATGCGGCATGATAGCTATTTAAGAATTTTTCTCTGATTAAGTTGAATCTGAAACAATAGAGGAAAAAAAAAACCCCAAAAACTAGTGTTTGATTATTGACAGTAAAATTTTTCCCACATTCGGAATAGTATATTTATTTTTAATGCCTTGCAGGGTGTATGAAACCCACATTTTATATTAAAAATGTTCATCTTACATAGTTAGTCTGGCTAAAAAAAGACAAGTCCATCCAGTTCAACAATTAAAAAAAAAAAAAGTTATAATCCTACACCCACAGTTGATCTAGAGCAGTGTTTCTCAACTCCAGTCCTCATGGACCCCCAACAGGTCATGTTTTCAGGATTTCCCTCAGATGAAACAGCTGTGGTAATTACTAAGGCAGTGAAACTGATCAAATCACCTGTGCAAAATAATGGAAATCCTTAAAACATGACCTGTTGGGGGTCCATGAGGACTGGAGTTGAGAAACACTGATCTAGAGGAAGGCAAAAAAAAACAGCAAAGCATGATGTAATTTGCTCCTGCAGGGGAAAAAAATCCTTCCTGATCCCCTGAAAGGCAATTGGATATTCCCTGAATCAACTTTACCTATGAAAATGTTTGTAACCAGTTATATTCTGTGTATCCAAGAAAGAATCCAGGCCGTTTTTAAAGTAATCCACTGAGCTGGCCAGAACCAACTCTTGAGGGAGTCTATTACACATTTTAGATATAATATAATAATGGTGAAGCGCTATGCATATAAAGCAAATTATTGTACATACAGTATTCAATAATGAACCGTATAGTAAAAAGTGCAATATAAATATATTAGGCAGGTTGTGGACAGGTGTCTCTTATACTGATAACAAGTTCAAACAGGTGCCATTGATACAGGTAATGAGTGCAGGACAGAGGAGCCTCTTAAAGAAGAAGGTACATGCCTGTGAGAGCCAGAAATCTTGCTTGTTTGTAGGTGACCAAATACTTATTTTCCACCATAATTTACAAATAAATTCTTTCCAAATCAGCCAATGTGATTGTCTGGATTTTTTTTCTCATTTTGTCTCTTATAGTTGAGGTCTACCTATGATGCCAGTTACAGGCCTCTCTCATCTTTTTAAGTGGGAGAACTTGCACAATTGGTGGCTGACTAAATACTTTTTTGCCCCACTGTATGTACAATAATTAGTTTTATTTGCATAGCGCTTCACCATTATTGTATTATATCTATATTGTGCATCCTTTGGTATAGGGAAAAGGTGGTAACAGCTTGCACGTGCACATTTAATTAATCTAACACTTGCGGAGCGCTGGGAGAATTTACCTTCATTTCTATTCTACATTTTCACTGCTCTTACTGTGAAGAAACCTTTCCGTGTTTGGAGATTAAATTTCTTTTCCTCTAAAAGTAAAGAGTGCCCCCTTGTCCTCTGTGATGACCTCAAGGTGAATAACTCTACACTGAGTTAACTATATGAACCACTGATGTATTAATACTAGAGATGAGCGAAGTATTCAAAAATTCGATTCGGCTGATTCGGCGAATTCGAGGAATAAATTCGATTCGATGCGAATATACAGCAGGGAGGGCAGCCAAATGGAACCCACCAGCAGTGTGAGGAGACCTGAAAGGGGCACATGGCAGAGGTGTGGCGAGAGCAACAGCAGCAATGGGAGGCCGTTGTACAGCACCCCATGACAACTCTGGACCTGGCGGAGCACCAGCAGGTAGTGGGGACCTGAAAGTGAGCCTGGCACATGGCAGAGTGTGGCGTAATGAGACACCAGCCGCAATGGGAGCGGCCAGTGTAACAGTGGACCCACGATGAGAGACGACAGACAATGGAGGCAGCAGCATGAGAGACTCGGAGCCAGTGGCGGATACAGGGGCCCATGGCAGATTACGGGCCTGGCAGCAGCAATGGGAGGCCGCGCAATCTGCCAGCACCCTATGACAAAATGGAACACACCAGCAGTGTGAGGAGACCTGAAAGTGGCACATGGCAGAGTGTGACGATGGAGACAGAGCAATGGGAGGCCGTACAGGGGACCATGATAGACGACTCTGGATACCGGTGGCAGCAGCATGAGGAGGGCGGTACAGGGGTCCCATGGCAGATTAAGGGCCTGGCAGCAGCAATGGGTGAGCCCGAAATCAGCCAGCACCCTATGACAAAATGCGAACACACCAGCAGTGTGAGGAGACCTGAAAGTGGACCACATGGCATGAGTTTTGTGGCGATGGTAATGAGACAGCAGCAATGGGAGCCGTATACCGGGACCCATTACAGGACACTCTGGACCTGGCAGCAGCATGAGAGGGCGGGTACAGGGGCCCATGGCAGGATTACAGGCCTGGCAGCAGCAATGGGAAGGCCCATAATCTGCAGCACCCCTATGACAAAATGGAACACACCAGCAGTCTGTGAGGAGACCTGAAAAGTGGCACATGGCAGAGTGTGGCGATGGAAGGCACAGCAATGGGATGGCCGTACCAGGGACCCCATGGAGAGACCTCTGGACCTTGCCGTCAGCATATGAGGATGGCGGTACGGGGGGCCCGATGGACAGATTTACGGGGCTTGGCACAGCAATGGGAGGCCTGTAATCTGCCAGCACCCTATGACCAAAAAGGAACACACCAGGCAGTGTAGAGGAGACCTAAAAGTGGCACATGGCAAGTGTGCGATGGAGGCAGCAAAAAAGGGAGGCCGTACCAGGGACCCATGAGAGACTCTGGACATGGGCAGATGAGGAGGCGGTACGGGGGCCCCTGGCAGATTAGGGCCCGGCAGCGCAAGGGGCCCAAAACTGCCAGCACCCATGACAAAATGACAAAAGGAACACCGCAGTGTGAGGAGACCTGAAAGTGGCACATGGCAGAGTGTGGCGATGGAGACAGCTGCAATGGGAGGCGTACATGGGACCCTTGACCCACTCTGGACTGCAGCAGCAGAGGGGGCGGGACAGGGGCCCCTGGGGAGATTACAGGCCTGGGGAGCGCAAGGGAGGCCCGTAACTGCCACACCCCATGACAAAAGGAAACCCAGCATTGAGGAGACCTGAAAGTGGCAATGGCAGAGTGTGACGAGGAGACAGCAGCAATGGGAGGCCGTACAGGGACCCCTGAGAAG